GACGCCTTTTGTCACCAAACTCACTTCCCAAATGATCCTTCCCTAGTCCCATACTCCTTTCCTCCCTCACTGCCATGGGAACCTATCCCTATTTGCTACGTTATAAAGTGGGTTCACTTTATGCAAATCCAATTTATGTGCCATTTTCTGGGAATGCATGTACCGCATAAATCAAGGGAAAGCTGTATATGCCCTTTCCACAAAGAGAATGTTTTGCTCATAGGAGCTTATGGGGTAGTTTATACATCCTAAAAGCCACGCTGATTTTTCTCATTGGCAGGCTGTGCAGGAAAATAATCTGAATGCATACTAGAAGTAACTTAACATTTCAATTTATTTCACTTCAGGTTGCAACTGGAATACCTAGGTGGGGAAAATGATTATTTCTTGTTGTCACTTTTTTTTTTATAGTTGTGTCTAATATCTGGGATAACAAGGGAAACAGCATTCTCTAGGGGAATATAGCATATTTCTTAAGTATATTAATAAAACTTCAAGATTTCCTAAATACCTGGCAGGAATTAATTATAAATGAGGTAATATTACTTAAACTCAGGAGTGGCTTTTGTACCGGCTTAAAAAATAAGTAAAAGCTTATAGTCAGTTCCTTTTTTTTTCAAGTAATCGTATTCCAGGGGTTTATTGGGGGGTTTTCTGGTATTTGTACGTTTAGTTAATGGCTATTCTTCATATGTATTTGCAGTTGTTATTTTATTGGAAATGTATAATGAGGAAAGGGCAGAAAATGTGTCTTCTATAAAGATCTGTTTGTTTGTTTTTTTCTAGCCGGTAATTGCAACAACATGCATGGGAGTAAACCATCCAATTTTTGCTCGCAAGCGGTTTGACTTTTGCATAGTGGATGAGGCATCCCAAATAAGCCAGCCAGTCTGCCTAGGCCCACTTTTCTGTTCTCAGAAGTTTGTGTTGGTGGGGGACCATCAACAGCTACCTCCACTTGTACAGAATGCAGAAGCAAGGTAAGATGCACAGCTATCAAATAAATATTTAAAAAAATGCTTGCTCTGGGCAAAATGTAAGCAAGCACTTTGTAAGACTGCACGTCTGACTTTTGTAACAGAGATCTTGGCATGAGTGAGAGCTTATTCAAGAGACTGGAACAGAACAAGAATGCTGTTGTCCAACTAACTGTGCAGTACAGAATGAATAGGTATTTAAAATTCTCTGTTGCTACTATGAGCTTTTAATATAAATTTTACACTACAATATTTGACACTTGTTTTTAAATTCCATAGTAAAATTATGTCGCTGAGTAACAAGTTGGTGTATGAAGGCAAACTGGAATGTGGCTCAGAGAAAGTGTCAAAGGCCACTGTTAACTTGCCAGACTTAAAAAATTTGAATCTGAAGCTGGAATTATTCACAGGCTCTTCAGAAACATGGTTGAAAGAAGTTCTTGAGCCAAACAATTCTGTCTGTTTTCTTAACACAGAGAAGGTAAACTTTTCGTTGCATTCTTTCCTTTCTCTCATGCCATACTTCCTTCAAAATACTACTTTCATTTTGATATTTGCAGGTGATATTGTTTAAACAATTTAAAGTTAAAACGCTTGTGTTTTGTGGGGTAGGCAACAAAATGCAGTTTTAGTTTTAAAAAAAAAATCCTTTTCCAGTTTGTACAAACTCTTACAAACTTGCTAATAAAGCATGTCAACTAGAATGACTTCTTCATACAGCTACTGCTGTAAACATTGTATCTCAGGTGAAGCAATCTGAAAGCTGAGTTAGAAGTCTGTGGAATAGCTGTCTTGAAATGCTTGTGTCTTCAACGTCCTGAAAAGCCCTAGATGCATATGTTTTCATTAACTTAAGTAACGCTGAGTTAAGTACTCTAACCAGCTACAGAGTGTAGGTTGTAGCCATGTTGGTCTAAGGACATAGGAAGATAAGGTTCTTCGGGTAAATCTGATCTCTTTTATTAGATATATTTGAGTTGGTCTAATAAAAGATATCAGACTTACCCAAGGAACCTTGTCTACCCAGCTACAAGCATGTAACATGACAAGCTATATGTATGTAACCAAACGTCATTTCAGCCACTTAAACTACTTCTGAAGGTTTTCCAGTAGCATGTAGGATTTGTTAGGGTAGAATGAGAAGTGTTCCACTAGCAGGAAGATTGCAACTCCTTTGCTGTGGAAATTTATTCTTACTGAACTCTGGATGGTACTCTCAATGTAATGCAATCTGCTGCAGTTCCATAACTCTGACAACTGTTGAGAACAAATGAGCATAAAATAAAGGGTTTTTCCTGGATTCCAGGGCCTGGAATACGTGGTGTTTATTAGGCCTGTGCGAAGCGGAAAGTATTCGCTTCTGGTTTGGTGATTTGGACAGTGATTTGATTTGGCTGAATCCGAAGATATTTGGTGCAGG